TTGAGGTTCTGAGAAAAGAAAAGTTGTTTGCTAACCTTAAAAAGTATTCCTTTTGCACAAATCAGATTGTCTTTTTAGGGTATTTTGTTTCAGCTGACGGACAAACAAAAGTAGTTTGTAGGGCGTTGTCAACCTTATTGCGATCTATTATTCAGAAGAACTTAAAGAATTGGGAAGTGTTTGTCGCACGTTGAATTTGCTTATAACCGGAGCATCCATTCAGCAACTAACTGCTCGCCATTTGAGGTTGCGTATGGTTTTAATCCACTCACTCCTTTGGATTTATTGCCATTACCTATTGATGAACAAGCTAGTTTGGATGAGAAAAAGAAAGCTGAGGTGGTTAAGCAACTACATGAGAGGGTGCAGCAAAACATAGAGTGACGAATTGAGCACTATGCAAATCAAGCCAACAAAGGGCAAAAGAAAGTTGTGTTTGAACCTGGACATTGGGTTTGGGTGCATATATGCAGAAGGAGCGATTCCCTGGACAAAGGCATTCTAACTTGCAACCAAGAGGCGATGGACCATTTCAAGTGATTGCAAGGATAAACGACCATGCATACAAGTTGGAGCTTCCTGGTGAGTATAATGTTAGTGCTACTTTTAATGTTTCTGATCTTTCTCCTTTTGATGTAGGTGATGATTTGAGGACAAATCATTTTGAGGAGAGAGGGAATGATGGGAATCAAGACGATAGCATATCTACCATGTCATGTGATCCATTACTGATGGGAATCAAGATGACCCCACATGTACCACATCAAAAGATCCATTACACATTCCAGGAGGTCCAATCATGAGAGCTAGAGCTAGGAAGATGCGAGAAGCTTTAAATGGCCTTATTGAGCAGATCTGGGTTGATAACAACATACAACAAGCAAATTGAAGATTGTATGATTATCAAGGCATGGTAAACATCATTCAAGTTCAAGAGAAGCTTAGTTGTGGTCATTTGCACAGAATTACACAGTTTGCGTCAAAATCGCACAATTCTGCCACAATTTGTAGCAAACTGATATTTCGTGTTATTTTAGGTTATTTTTAGTGATTTTCACTTTTTTTGTATTATTTTTGGGCTGAACATTCATTTATTTAAGGCCCAATTCGTGGTTATTATGATTAGGGCTTAGGGTGTTAGTTTCCTATTCTGATTAGAATTACTTTTACCTATTTAAAGGGGCTTGTAACCCTAATTGAGGGAGGCTATTGAATCTGAGTTTTAGGAGACTTTTCTCTTTGGTTCGTTTCAGAACTTTACAGAACTTATCAAGATTATTCTTGTGGCGTTCTAACCTGACTTATCATTCTCGTTCTTAATTGTTCGAGGGTGTGGCATCAACCAACTTTTTACCTCTGGTTCTTGTTGCGTCATAGACAACGGGTCAAGGATTTTACCTTTGGTTCTTGTTGCTACATAAACAATGGGTCAAGGTCCTATTATAAACCTGATTTAGCTTTCCTGGAGTTTAGAAATCCCTTGTCGTGCTGTGGGTCTCATTGTTCTCTTTGGGGTACTCATCAGCTGCGTTCTTTGCAAAGCAGCCTATGGTTGTGCTTCTGTATAAAGATGCTTATTTCAACACTAACGAACTTAATGATTCTTTGCCTAGTGCTGTTAAATCTCTTTTGCAGGATTTCAAGGATGTGTTTCCAGATGACATTCCTAATGGTTTACCACCAATAAGAGGAATCGGGGATCAAATTGACTTCATTCCTGGTGCAACAATTCCAAACCGACCAGCATATCAAAGCAATCCCAATGAGACGAAAGAACTTCAAAGGCAGGTCAACAACTCATGAAAAAGGGACATGTGAGAGAAACCATGACTCCATGTGCAGTTCCAGTGCTACTTGTGCCTAAGAAGGATGGGACTTGGTGTATGTGCGTTGATTGTTGCGTTGTCAATGAAATCACTGTAAAGTATCATCACCCTATTCCTGGATTAGATGAGTTGCATGGTTCTTTCACATTCTCTAAAATTGATTTAAAGAGTGGATATCATCAGATTAGGATGAAGGTGATGAATGGAAAACAGCCTTTAAAATGAAACATGGTTTATATGAGTGGTTAGTTATGCCATTTGGATTAACTAATGCACCTAGTACATTCATG